GGCATACAAAGGTGCAAACGGTATCGGCTGCTGTCCGAAACTATGAAGTCCTAATAATGACTGATGTAATTAACTCCGTTGAAGTAACGGAGACGGTGTGGGTTGATACACACTGCGGTTGACTAGGAGAGTAGCTGGAGCTAAAACCAGGTTGTGGAGCAAGTCTCCGTACCTCGTCATACGACATCGGTGCAGCACCGACACTAGCCTGAAAACCGCCCTGCGGATATAAATTACTCAAGCTGCCTTAACGGAAACCGCAACCTCTGCGGCCTGGAGGAGAGGAACAGAGACAGCGCAATCAACAAATGCATAGAAATAGGTGGGACTCTCTAGCCCTCGCCTCTCGGCCACCGTCTATGCTTGCCTGAATGTTGGCGACAAAATCTTTCGCTCACCCAATTTCCAATTAAGTAATCACAAAAGACAGATGTCCGGTCTAATTAACTGGATCCTCAGATCAAATCTCTTGTTCTGAGCATTAACCAGTAATGTGGTGAGGTTCTACTAAAACAACACTAAAAACATCTGTCAAGCCATAAGAACAGGATTGCACTTCAAATGCCGCCTCTTAGCAGATGTTCATACCAAAGGCAATTGTCATATGGTGTTTCCTCGGTGCAGCAAGTCGTCCAGTCCTTGACGTAAGATGTGATGGAGCAGAATTAAGTCAAAATTCACGGAATGTAAGACTGCTCATGAATTAGGGGATATTTCCTCAATGAAGTGGTTGAATCGTATCATCCTCGTACCACCCAAACACTTGTCACCGCGAAAACACTCAAATGACCGCACAAAGAGCTGAGAATAATAAGGAAAGCTACTTTACCCCACTCTCTAAATTCAGTTACTGTGCTAGTAAACCGATGCTGTGCCTCTTGCCGCTCTTTCGCTTATTATGTTAAATAATAAAGGCTAAAATTTGTAGATGAAATAACAAACCTTTCCTTACCCAGTGCCGTGGAATGGCACCTAGCTGGCAAGCTTTCCTCCAAGTGCATAAACTTTCTTATTGTGGGAGATTCTTTTTTTCTACAAGAGGAAGAAGATAACAGACACAAGTTAGTAGCCGGGAAAAGTGTGCAATAATCCGGTGGAAATAGGAAGCGTTGAATTTACCATAACTTGATAATTCATGGAGCCAAATCTTGAAGCTGAGAGCTGGAACGCTCAAGACGTGAAAGTCCTAATACCTCGCACTGACTGCCACATTTACTTGAAAGAGCTCTCGTGGAGGCTGTGTGGAAGCAGTTCTCACTCCCTCATTCATGGTTTCAATGGTAGCACTGCATCTTGCGGTTGTGAACGCCGTAGCGGCGGTTGCAGTTGCCCACTTACTGCGCGCTTACCCAGTGGCTGCCGGTTCTCGTGGATCACCAAGCAGAAAGGTGATCGCGCTGGACCGAGAGTATCGTATACGTAAGGTTAAAGCGTTGGTGCTTAAATAATTTTGAAAGAAAGAGCATTCAGTCATGTGTAATCTGATTGTATCCACCTCGCCAGGTGGATTGTGATTTTGGGGGAAAAGTGTGGAGCCCCTATCGAGAGCGGGCATTCTAGGCAGTGTTTTAATGACGACTGCTAGAGGAGTTTATAAGGTGGAGGATATGTAAGCGCACCACAGCCTTTGGTAATGCTAGCGACTTCCTTAGCGCCCCCAATTTCAAGCGCATTGGCTAAAGAACCAAATAGCTTAAAGGGAGACCATTGACGGTAATTGAGATACATATTTAAAACAATTTTCAGAAGCGGATCGGAATCCCTCTATTGGGCCAAAACAGGAGACTAGTTAGAATTTTAGGAAAAGTTGTGCTTACTGCTCTACAGATAGGCTGCATTACAACAGGATGTCGGGTGCTTCCCGCGTCGCTGCTACTGCTGGACGATTCCAAATCGACATCTTCTGCAATCACACGTGGATTGTGGTAACTCTGCCAAAAGGAAGGAAAAGGGTAATTGTTATATTAAGGCGGTAGGTAGAAAGAGTAGTAAAGTGAAGTATTGGGTGTGATTATAAGTAGGGCGCTGAATAGCAGCCAAAATATACCAGATGTTGACTTTACAATATCATGGAGAAAGGTGAGTAATTTTGGGGACGGTTTCGATGGGTTGACAGACAACTTGGAGCAAAGTGACAAATGTTCTTTGAAAGCTACCAGACAGTGGTCAAAAGCTGATCAATTTCTGACTTGCGGCTAGTTGCCTATCAACTGATGTTCATGTCTACTTATGGCCGATAATAGGTATTACTGACTCGGCAGCCTTTCAGCTCTTAGTAGTGAGGAACGGGCTCTCATACCCATAGTAAGGTTTCGAAAGTAGCTGAAGTCCGACCCTAGCACGGTAAAGTTATTCAGTGCACTTGGAAGAGAGATATAGCTGCCTGATTAGCAAAACGTATGGGAGATACAGAATGAGGTAATTCAAAACCCACATTACGGACTCGTTGATTGCCATACAGCTATCCGCGAAGTGCAAAAGACGCAAGACACCAAAATGACAATCAACGACTAAATCTGAATCGGTTGCTGTAGCGATTCTTTTTTACTTATCTTTTCTCTTCTTTGCCAATTTGCCGCGTTCTCTCTCTCGTGCCGTTACCGTCAACTGCAGTGATCATGGCCTTAAAAGTGGGTGAGCTTTTGGGTCTGCTTTATGCTCCATGACTGCTTTGAGTGTGCTCTAACTGTAATACGATAGTTGTTTATCCCTCGGTTTTGGTGAGGCGCCACTTTTGAACTTTGAATTAGCCCCCTTGTACCTCGCTGGGTGGAGCTGGCCTTTTGGGCCATTCCAATAGCCCAGACACCTTCTCCGTGCTGAATATATACATATATATTCTGCCCGAGTATGGTGTCTTCTTTCGTCTTCAGGAAGTCTTGGGATGCTACACTAACAGCTGCAATAGATGAGATGCATGTGCATCCTTATTTACAACTGACAATTTATAGCACTTCATTGACATTTATTAGGAATGTTCAGTACAAATTCCATTAAATTCTGGCCTCCTGAGTAGCTGTTCCGACGTTTAAGCTGTAAGAATTCTGCCGTTTTTCCTCGTAGTATTATATCTTTTGCATATTTTCTTTTCACCAGCCTGTTATTCGGTGGTATTCTATTGACTACCAGGGACGTCTCTAGCTGCTCGTCTTCCTCATTCAGGAATCACAAGGGAACGAGGTATTGCAGGAAGTCCTAAGGGCGGTCAGGACTTGATTCAATCAAAGCCGATGACTTCAGTGATGTCCGTCTGCCAGATGCATTGTCTGGCACAGCTCCCTTCAACTCCTTGCCATGGATATGAGCACTCGTGTCGCATTACCAACAGGTAAAATTTTGTCGAGTCAAAAATTCCTACTCGTGGCTGCAAGTAGACGCCAGCATCAGTTGATACGCAGCTGGTTGAAAATGCACAACTGACTGACTTTTGATCGCTATTTGAAAGGCATCCAAGACCACATGTCACTGCTTTACTTTGTCAGTCGACCTATCAGAGTTACCCCCCAAAATTACTAACTTTTCTCCACAATATGGCAATTTCAATGCATCTTTCAATTTGCTTGCTATTCAACGCCTTAATTGAAGTCTTTGCATAAACTTTACCACCTCACTAATCTGGTTTTCATTTCATAAGTATTTTACCAACCACCTTGGCATAACATTTGCTAATTTTCTTTCTTTCAACAGAGTTACTGTTATCCAAATGTGCTTTTTAAAATGAAATGTCTATAGGAGGTTGTCCAGCAGAAGCAATGACGAGGGAAGCACTGGACAACGTGATTAATGACCGCCTGTCCATTGGTCGGTATGTAGTATTTTTTCGAGACCTTACCTCTAAAAGTTGATCCCAATTATGTGCCTCGGTTACTCGCGGTACCGGTGAGGTTCTCAGCTCAAGTCACTTGACCCTCTGGTTCTAGGACAAGTTTTTGGCATTGTCCAAGGCTGTGGTGATTTTGCGAGTCCTCTGCCTTGTAAGCTTCTCCACAGTCATCACTGCGCCTGACCAAAAGCCAGTCGGCCCCCCCACCTATCAAGAAGGCAGTCCAGTTTAACATTGTAGTCCCTTTCCACTCAACATCGTGCATTTGTAAATTTCACCAGTCGTGTAGTAAATATACACCTTGAGTGATCCCAATGCGTTCATCACTAGAGTGGGAAAAATGATGCCCATGTGGGGGAGCAAAGGAGGCCTTCTCTATAATGCACCACCAGGTTTGACTAACACTTATAAAATATACAAAAAAACTGGCCATTGCGCCTCCATCGAGCGGCTCTGAGTGCAGCCGTGCCAGGGGCACCGATTTTTTCTGTGCGCCGACAATAAAGATTCTGCACAAACATTATGTCTTACATGACATTCAGTGGGGTTCTGAGGCTTTAACTATCCTTAAAAATATATGCATAATAGTGAATTTGAGAATACATTGGCATGAACGTGCGAATGTGTTTTGTATTAGTGAAGTTAAGAATATATACGTTAGTATGGACAGATAAATGGTGTATTAGTAAAACAGGGGATATACACATACAAAGGTGTGGGTACACTTTGTTTTTGTGAATTCGAGAAAGCGAGACATTTTACATCAGGAAAATTGAGAATATGCGCAATCTGTTTTGTGTTAGCGAATTGAATAAATTTTCGCATACGTTTGTGGATTAATATGATATTATTAGAAATAAGAATACGCATGTATATCAGCATAGATTTACTTTGAATAGGTAAATTATTAGCGCGGATGAATTTTTGTTAGTCAAATTAAGCGCAAAACTTATGCACACATAAGTGTGTTTTTAGTCGTACAATTGAGCTCATACAAACATGTAGACTTGGATGTATTTTGCGTTACATCAATTGAGAATACACACGCTTGTTGACGCAGGCTAGTTTTGCATTAACAAAATTGTGTGCGTATACTTATCCAGTTTATGATACATTTTGTTATAGTGTACCAAAATAAGTGCAGTGTGTTGCTATGGTCGTGTTGTTGTGCATATGAATGTGTCAAAGCAATTTGTTCCAGCCAAAGTTTGCGTTTAACTTTATCAGAAGAATTAAGCACATATGTGCATGCAAGAATGATCCAAATTTGTTAAATTTGCAATTAGGTACATGCGTATGCAGCCTTTAATGCAATTTTTTCATTTTAATGAAGTTATTATGCGTTTGTAGCTATGGATATACTTTGAATTACTAGAAATGGGCGTAAATACATTGGAAGTTGTTAATATATTTAAAATTATAAAAAGTATAGATAGATGCGCACACATGTGTGAATGCTGTTTGTGAGCATGTATTTTGGGTGTATTTTTTATTCAAAAAATTGAGTAGGTTTACGTATGGATATGTGTAATACTTATGTTGTTTTAATGTGCCTTTCAGGGAGAAGGCAAGCAGGAAAATTCGAACCTTGTAACTGGATCGCCCTCTCCCTTACCTAGTGACTGCGGCTCCCCTCCTTGAATATTGTATTTTCCCTATACATCTTGTCGTCTTTAAAAAAGATGTCCAGAGCAAACCAATCGGGCTTGTCTAGGAACGCTAGGAATCGGGAAGCGGAGACCGAGGAGTCTCGCTCCACATATGTGCCTATAATTATAAAAAGTGAAAATGAGTATGTATATGCTCAAATGATTGTGAATACACATTTGTATTCGTAAAATCGAGTATACATTTATGAAGGTGTACGTATTTTTTGTCATTTAAATTGAAATTGAGTGTTTATGCGTGTATTTGATTGCATTTTTAATAGTGCGATAGAACATATACATGCACATGCAAAAGTATCTCTTACCGGTATGTCCAAATGCATGCATGTTTATGTAAATGCAATTTGCAATTGGAAAAGTGCGGACTCATACGTATTAATGTGTAGATGTATTTCGTATCAATGAAGGTGATAATGTGTATGCATATGCAGATGTATTGTAAACTGGTAAAAGTGACGCGACATGTTTATGTATGTCTAGTTATATTCCGCAATCGTAAAATTATTTACATAGGTATATGTATGTGTGAATGCAATCATTCCTGTGAACTTGAGTGTAAATGTGTGGATGTGTTTGGATTTATTAAAATTGAGTGCAGATATGCAAGCATTTGTGGATGAAATAAGTTGTAGTTAAGTCGTGCACACAGATGTGTTGATGTATTTCATGGTGATGAAATCGTGAATGCTTATGCGGGTGGATTTGGATGTACTTAGCGGTGAGATAAGTGTTTATATTCGTGTAAATATATTTGCATGCATTTTGCAATAATGAATGTGAGTGCATACAAGTATGTAGTTGTGGAAGTACTTTGAGAACCAGCAAAATTGTTTGCATATGTGAACATTTGTACAATTGAGTAAATGGAAAAGTGTGGCAGCACTTTATCACTAAGACTGTATACATGCATACTAGACGGATGTTCTTTGCACCTCAAATTACTTGCACTGTTTACTTATAGCAGCCAGATGATAGTCAAATTAATTTTAAATCTGCAATACCTGATAGTAATTTGGTAAAAAAATGCTAGAAAAGTGAAGAATTTTAGTTTGAATCGGATTTGATTCCCTAAATACTGCATTGTTT